TGTGTGTGTGTGTGTGTGTGTGTGTGTGTGTGTGTGTGTGTGTGTGTATGGGGGGAGGGCGGGGACTCGGCTGGGTTACATAAAATTGGATTAAAGGAACTATCATGCATAGTGAGACAGATGACATATTTATATTTGCAGAGCGGGGATAAAGAGAGTTATACATCTATGTATATTTGTAGGAGAAAAGGTTGTATGTGTGGGCCTGTATGAGGGGGGAGGGGCAGGTAGGTAGGTTTAATTAGGTCGGATTAGTAGCTGAGCTCCCTCAGCGTCTTTACTTGATACTCAATACTACTGCACACAAGTGAACAGCAAAAAGACTAAACTTGATTTATTTTTTATTACTTGTACTAATATATTAATCATTTTATACTATTCAATAAAATGGCTAAACCGATTTAATCTCTCATTAGATATAAACGCTACCCTATTACATAATAGAAACGCTGATTTAACTTTTCATTAGCCTTTTGCTCTTTTTAATATCGTTCTCTGATGCTGAACTCGGAACCATGATGAAGACGCGGCGAGATATTACGTACATTTTTTTGCATTATATATTTTTACTTTTTTATATTTTGTATATTGTTTTCCATGAGTTTAGTCTATATTTTTCTACGTATCAATTCTTTTCTTCTATTCCGCAGCAGTCTTAAAAAATTTAAAATAGAGGCCTGAAGGAGCTCTACTATAATCTGACCTAATTAAACCTACCTACCTCTTCCCCTCATCCAGGCCCACACATACAATCTTCTCTCCCACAAATACATAGATGTGTATAACTCTCTTTATCCCCGTTCTGCAAATATAAATATGTCATCTGTCTCACTATGCATGATAGTTCCTTTAATCCAATTTTATGTAACCCAGCCGAGTCCCCGCCCTCCCCCCATACACACACAGTGGTTTACACTTGCCTTTATACACATTTAAAACACCCCTCCTTTCCCCACCCCCTAAAACTCCCAAAGATGCATTTTGTGATAGCTTTATACATTAACCAAATTTCTATACCTACATCAAGTTCTTGCTCGATTTTCAAGGGTACACCCAATACACTATATACAAACTATCAACAGCTTCTTCATATTCAAGAGGTCAAAATCTACAAAAAAAATACTAGATATCTCTATTGCTTACATCTTTTTGGGCAGAAATTTTTACACATCCTCCTTTTAATCCTCGCATTATTTAGATTTAGATTTTGCTGTGACTTTACTTAACGAGCAACATTCCATTTTTGGAGAACAAGAATTTAATTGCAAATAAAGTAATTTTACCAACAAACTATCCTTTTATTAAAAAAATTAGTCACCCTCGATCTAATATGTATGTTGAAAATAATAAAGGAATCACTGTCATCTGCGCTATCGCTCAAAGATCTATCTATGTATATGTATATTAATTACAATTTTATTCTGCGATGTAGAAATTATATGTAGCTGCTTTATGAAGCTTTTTTGTAATTAATTTGTCACGTTGTCAACTTGTCTGATGAAACTTTTAAGCATTTGACACGTCAACACAAGTACTTGACGTAGCCGATAGATTAAGAAAGCTAGCTATTAACAAGCGATACATTGATGCTGCTGCTACTACTGTCGCTTCAGTCGCTTCTGTTGCTCGGCTACAATCCGATCGCTTCAGGAACGGACGACCTCTTTTTCCGCGTATCGATTCATCCAGCGTTTTTCCTTGTGGTTGTGAATAATGCAACGCAAGTGACGCGCGACGATGCACGATCCAATGCCGCTGCAGGATTGTAAAAAAATTGCCGGGGATGCTGGAAATCGTCCCTCGGGTCACTCAAGCGCGTGTGACGTATCCGAATATTTGTATTTGGATAACGACGACGCGCGTTGCGTCGAATCCATTGAAAAACATCGCTACGTAAACGTTTCACGCGCAGAGAAGAGAAAATATTAGTTTCCAATATTCGTTCGCGTGAGCGTGGTCGATTTTACTCTCAAATTTAATATTGATGTGTTTTTGCATTTTATTAATTAGGCATACCACGCGTAACCGCACGTATAACGTGTTTAATCTGACTTGGACTCGATCTTTACTTCTTTTGGCGATCGATTTTGTAGATACATATAATACATGCATTTATTTCTACATGTATATAGTATATGTAGGTATATATACATTACACGTGTATATGTACGTACACGCACAATTATAAATGTTCTCCTCACGCTGCACAATAGACGTACGTCTTACTCACAATCAGGGAATAACTTAAAGACTACTATAATAGTTGACTTTGCGAGAGAACGCTCATAGCAACGGTTGCAACGTAGCAACGGAAGCAGCATGCGGCATGCTAACTACGATCTATTACACTTGCAGAAAACGCCAGTCGCTGGTGTTGGCCGAATGGGACCTGGGATACATACTCCAATTATTCCATGTGCCGCGACGTGCGGTTGTCGACCATCGAGCTCGGTGTAGAAATCACGACTGCGCTATATTTCATCGGCTACAGCCTCTCCTTGTTCACTCTAATAATGGCAGTCTGCATATTTATCTATTACAAGTGAGTCGAATATCGATGATGAGCAATCTGAACGTCTTCCCGTTTAGGTATAACGTTATCTTTCTCAAAGAGAATGGAATGCTGCAAAACAAACACAGCCTTTTTCCTGCTTTTTGACACACGTTTAAGGAAAACTTGATTTTCATTGTTAATCTTTTACAATATTACAATTTTTTTACAATGTGTTTTCTATATTTACAAACTTGTCACGTACACTTTGAATGAGAACGAGTTTTAGTTTGATGAGAACAAGTTGTAGTTTATACGCAAGTGACGAGAGATTGATTGATTGATTGATTGATTAATATATTTATGTCCAAGCGTAGCTAAAGGGCAAGGAAAGCATGAGAGAGAGAGAGAGAGGGGGGAGGAGGGATAGAATTATTAATTAATTGTATAAGAAGAGAAAGACACAAAAGTCGCAGGATTTTTATACAGTGTTAAATACTATCGGCGGATATTGCTACACTCTTATTCTCGATTTTCAACTTGCTGCGCTCCCGTCGCGTCGTTTCCAGTACACCTACCGCACGACGCGAGCCGTCTCGGAGCGAACGGTCGAAACGGTATATAAACGGAGTAGGTATACGGATGCTTTGAATTCTATGCGTTGAATTCCGCCCGGTTGTTTCTGTTTGTTTCCTAATTGAGATCGCTCCCAGCACCGCGTACTAATCTATTGAAGAGCGACGTGGGCGAGAGGCCACTATAAATTAACCCTCTCTACCTTTACATACCACTCTATGTCACGAAAATATTCCAGAGTTTCTCAAGACTTTAATTGCTTCATATTTTTTTCTGTAGAGAGTTACGGTGCCTCAGAAACAACATACATACAAATCTAATGTTCACTTATATCCTGGCTGATTTGACGTGGATTTTAACTACTGTGATGCAGGTAATGTATATACGTAAATGTCATACTTTTATTTATACAGTACATACTCTTAATTTTTCCCCACATGGAATATTTCTTTATTTTTACATAACATTTATTTATTTTACATGTATGTATACAATATACAGAGTGTCCCAAAATTGGACCGACAAACTTTGGGTAATTAAAGCACAGATATAACAAGCATTTTTGTCGATAAACCCATATCCGCAAATGATTCATTTTGGCACCAGAGTGAATCAAAGATTACGTGTTTATGTCTAGCTAGTTGGAGTACAACATTATTTTCAGGGTATGTGAATTTATAAGCCGACTGCGACGTTGCACGCTCTGTATGGAAGTAAATGGTCACCACTTTTAACAACCGCTGATGTAAATATTCGAGTTCAAAAACCACTTTAGTGTCAAAACGGTCCATTTGCGGACATGGGTTTCGTGACAAAAAATGCTTGTTATACTGTCCTTAATACGTACCCGAAGTTTGTCAGTCTACGTTTGGGAATACCCGCTGTGTAATATATTTCTTATGTAACGCTCGTAAATTTAGCACGCAATGTTGAAATATTATTCGAAATATTATAACTTTCTGTTAAAACAGTTAACGTTGTGGATATATATTTTAATACGTTATTAACTGCATTTTGTTGTTAAAATCATGTTTCTACTGCGACGTTGTGTTATTTATTTGTAACAAAGTATATTAATTAAGCAAGTACCCTTTGCGATATCTCGACGTGCAAATCGTCGAATGTTCAGTGATGTATATCGACGTGGATTTTCAAATTTCTTCTCTCTCTACCACGTTGAATCTTCATTATTAATAATTTCAATGTATTATATACACCGTGCCGCGTGAAATTATTTTAAATTTAATGAAGCGCTGCCCCTGGTCCGTCCATCGCGCGTTGGAATTTACATTACGTCCATCGCTCTTTGACTGCTAAATTTAATTTATTATTAAGAGCGAGAGAGAATAAATGAGACGTGGGAAAAAAAAGAAACGTAAAGATGAATATATGAAAATTTAGTCTCCATCATTGATAACTTGAACAGAACTGTTTATTATTTTTACAATATTATATAACGCACAAATGCAGGCAATCTTGATCGCAGTGAACGTGATGAAATAATATGAACGTGACTCCAACAAGATGCTCTCCCTTGCGCGGTTATATTATATATAACCGGCTAACGCTAACGGATTCATTAGTAAGATTTCTTAATTTATCGACGACCAACGTACCCGGTACGTTTGCCAGTAATATTTCACCGTTCTACATGAATATTTTACATGAATCAGTTTAGTTTTTCAACGTCAAGGTAAAGAGTGGTGGAAGAAAGAAAAGAGAGGGAAGAGGGTGTGGGGGAACGGGAAGGTGGCAATGACACATTACTCTTTATTTATGGCTAACGAAGGGAGATGAACAGAATGTTAAAAAAACCTTTCCCATCCTATCGGATCGGATTGGCTGTCCCTGGGGCGTGTCCCTGATGAATATCGCCGATCAAAGAAAATCATCGATTGACGACCGTCCCAGCGTGCACGCGATTAAAAGCATTGCATTTTGTGTAATGCGCTTTTATTTCTACATCATAAAATCTCCTTGACAAACTCTGAAAGATTACGTGGCAAACAATGGATCCGCGCGCGTAATCTCGGAATAGTGTTTGTAAATTAATAAGATTAATATTAAAGCTATCCGCCGCCTGTCTGAGCGTTCTCTTATTTTAATACCATCTCTATATTATGTTATATATTTCCAGGTGTCCATGCAAACGGATATACCAACTTGCGTGATTCTCTTCTCGCTTCTTCATTACTTCCACTTGACAAACTTTTTCTGGATGTTCGTCGAAGGTGAGTTACAATTTTGTAAATTGATAATACGTAATAAAAGAGACACGTACCTCCCCCTTCCCCCGGGCGCGCGCGCGCGTGCCTAGTCCGAAAGGATATGAAATATATGTATATGTGTATATACTCGAGAAATATGATTACGCGTTTATTACTAATATCAAGTACTATTTCGCACTGTTTATAGGTCTGTATTTGTATCTGTTGGTCGTGAAAACGTTCACTGGCGATAATATCAAGCTGAAGCTCTGCCTAGTGATCGGCTGGGGTGAGTGAGCGAGCGGGAAAGATAGCTAGGAGTCGTCGCGAGTCGACAGGACATAAAAAATAATGACGCGTAAACAAATAAATAATGAAACTAATAGAAAAATAAATCCAGGTGTCCCGGTGCTCGTGATAGCCATGTGGGGAATCGCCAAGTCTCTGGATCAGAAAGTCATGAGCCACGTCATGAATCAAGCTAACCAGGTATGAATTTAAACGAGAACGTCTCTGACAGCGAATTTCCACCTTTCCGCGCGAGAAATCTTTCATTTCCCGATAGCGACGGCCGTGTAACGCGATGAGCTGTGATAACGACGGACGCGCCGCGACGCGGTGTCGAAAATACCGATCGAAATTTCAGTCACGCTCGCCTATTAACGCGTCGCGTGTCCAAGTACGTGACAAGGATGAAAACCGCGCGCGGGCAGGGGAGAGGCAGGATGAACATCCACGTGGAAAACACGGGGTGGTTTTATATATACGTCGACATATATCACCGCGAGCACCTCCCGGCTTCGTTCGGCTCGGGTGGATACTCGATGCGCGTCAAGTCGTTTACTTTTTATCACTCGCAGGCTCGCTGCTCGCGAAAAGACCTTCCATTGGATCACGCGCGTAACCACCACCTAAGCTAATGTTGGAGGATCGAAAGATCGATTAAACATCTTACAGGTCGTCTCACTGAAAGCTAATAAGTTTGTTAAATTCGTCGCTACTTTTATGTAAGAAATGTCGACTCTCTCTATAATATACATATAATACGCCTTACAGTTGTCAAGCTGTTTCGGGATATGCGCCGAAACTGACGTTGAATGATATGAATCGCGGAGCAGCGCAAAATAAAACACTATACAAAAGGCGCCTCATTCCTCGTTTTACTTCTGCAAGCAAGCTTTAGCTAAACTTTACCAATACGTACAATTTTATTTTACACGTTGAAATTTATTAGTTACAAAGATATATGTGTAGCATGCAGACGTGAAGATTTGCAAATGTATTTATGTATCCAGACATGCGATAAAGCACGGGAAGCATTTTGTAAAAAAACCGGTAAATGGTAAGACGTTCACGATCTTTCATGCTCACTATATATGAGAGAATCGAGCTCGGACCTATACCTTTAGTTTATTAGTACAAAGTTTACTTGTTGATATCGCGCGCGACCCTGTACATTAATTATGAACACGACTGGCTGGGGCAGGAAGTGGCGCTCTGGAGGCACTGTCCCTGGATGATACCGCATCCGTACGACTGGTTTTATCAAGCGTCAGCTATAATAGTCATAGCGGTGAACATGGTGTTCCTTTTCATGATTATGCGGGTGAGTGCATCATCGTATCGCTAAACAGTAATGCTACTTAACCTTTTGTCTTATCGTTTGGGAAAAATATGTTGATATCGTTCGTCAAGTTGATAGCGGCCTTATATAAAACAGTTTTATAAACGTTTACTTCGTTATATTAATGAAAATGGTGTCTCGCGATCAATTTCATTGTCAAGCCTCGCGCGAATGATCGAGGGTGCCGAGAACATAGTCAACTATATCGATATCGTTAACTAAATGATATTGTATACTTGTTTATGGCATATATAACCGGTCGATTCTACTTGACCCGAGATGGATATGGTCTTGATTCGAAATTAAAACTATCCTGCAGATATTGTTGACAATTATGAGCAAATAAAACGGCGTATACGCGACGAATAATGTTTCAATTTAACGCACGCGGTGCAGTCCGTGCCGAGAAGCGCGATAAAACGACCGTCCAATGCACAAAATTGCTTCTCCCGCACACATTGAAACTTCTAGTCGTATCTTACGAGAACACGACGTTGAGCGGCGTGTACTTCCCTGTTTAAAATAATAGATACAATATAATCAGATTACATTATATTACATTCAATTTCAATGTAAATTAATAATGTTTTTATTCATTTACATTGAAATTGAATGTAATATAATATAATCTGATCATATTGTATCTATTATTTTAAACAGGGTTGAGCATGTGATGAGACAATTTCTGGATAATTCATTCATCAATTAGTCGCGTGATAAAAAAGGTTTTGTTGAAATTGGTTACGAGAATAGAGACATTTATTCGAATTACGTCCTAGGATATTGTCATTCTAAGCCCTATAAGCCCTAAGCCCTAAGCTCTAAGCTCTAAATTGAGATATAACGTCGCGTGCCTTGCAG